GTCCACTTTGGCACAGGCACCAGCAAGCCGTATCAGGAATGTTCTGGGTGTACTAGTTTTTTAATTAGATTTTAGAATTCGGAAAAGTTTGATTCTGAGAGGGTTCCCCCACCCCCCAGCTTAATTGTTGCTTTAGTCTGGGATGGAGTTTTGGAGTTACGTATTCCATTTTCAGCCTGATTCCCACATCAGTTTTTGAGTAATTACTTTGTGGCACAACAGATGTGCCTGGCCCATTTTGTCCTTTTCCTGCACTACCTCTGCCATCAGCCATTTCTCCAAAGGACGCTGATTTTTTTAGTGGAGGATAGAATTTAAAAACGAAGATCTGGGTGCTCATTGGTAAAGGTTGTCACTGCCTCAGACCTTCTCAATTGACAGAGTTAGAAAATATATGTATGAGTATATACACACACACACAAATACACGTGTACATCTATTTTTGTATTGTCTGTCTATATGTAGTTTTTAAACAATGAGTTTACATAGACATTTCCCAATTTCAATCTTAACTCCATAACCTTTCTGTTTTCTGTTTCTGTTATCCACAATATTTATTTGCTCCTTCTCCCTGTCACTATCCAGTCTCTCAAACCTGCCAGTGCTACCTGTCTCCTCAGCTCTGGGTTGATCCCTTAGATCACCATCTTCCTGGAATTATCAATACTTGCTATATTAAATATTCAAATCAGATTTGATGTATTTAAACATTTTAGAAATTAAAAGGGGCCATTTGACTAAGTCGTTTTAGTTTTGGAGAATCATCATTATTTTATGTAAACTTATCAAAAATAAAATTTCTGATTATTGGGAGCACAGTATCTAAACTTGTCTCTCCAGGTTGTCAGGCCACTACTTTGTCCATTAAGTTATAAGGACACTTCCCATTCATGAGGGCAGAGCTTCCTAATCACCTCCTAAAGGCCATGCCTCTTCATACTATTGCAGTGGTATTAAATTTCAACCTATGAAGTTGCAAAAGGTATAAACATTCACACCATAGCACTAAGTATTTTATTCTACCAGGTACTATTGTAAATGAAATTGTTTTCTGAATTTCCTTTGGATTGTTCATTGTTGGAGTGTTTTTTTAAGAGACCTAATAGTTGTGTGTTGATTTTGTCCTCTGCAACTTTGCTGAAACCATTTATTAGCTCATATATTTTTTGTGGATTTGATAATGTTATCTGCAAATAGAATAGTTTTACTTCTGCCTTTCAATTTGAATGTCTTTTATTTCTTTTTCTTGCCTATTTGCTATAGCTAGAGCTTCTAATATAGTGTTGAATTGCAGTGGTAAAAGCACTATCCTTTGCCTGTTCATGATCTTGGTGGGGAGTGGGGAGATCTTTTAGTCTTTCACTATGGAGTATGTTCCCTGTGAGTTTTTCATATGTGCACTTTATTATGTTGAAGAACTTTGCTTCCGTTCCTTTGTTTTCTGAGTTTGGTTATCCTCAAATGGTACTGGATTTTGTACTTTTTTCTGCATCAATTGATATGATCACATGTTTATTCATTTGTTTTATTAATGTGTTGTCTTACACTGATTAATGTTCTTATATCGAACCACTCTTGCATTCCTAGGATAGATCCAACTTGGTCATAGTATGTAATATTTTTAATATGCTGCCAAATTTGGTTTTGCTAGTATTTTATTGAGAATTTTTTGCATCTGTATTCATAAGGAATATTAGTCTGTAATTTTATTTTCCTGTGAAGTCTTTATCTGGCTTTGGTATCAAGGTAATGCTGGCTGGCACTGTAAAACTCAGAGGAATGAGTTAGGAAGTATTCCCTTCTAATTTTGGAAATGTTTGAGGAAGATTAGTATTACTTCTTTAATTTGATAGAATTAAGCGGCTAAGTCATCTTGCCCTGGATTTTTTTTTTATTTAGGCAGTTTTTTTAAAAAATTACTGATTGAATCTCTTCAGTGGTTATAAGTATGTTGAGATTTTATATTTCTTCTTGAGTCAGTTTCAGTAATGTGTGTCCTTCTACGAAATGTGTCTATTTAATTGAGTTACTTATTAGTGTATAGTTGTTCATAGTATTCTCTTATAATCCTTTTTTCTTTTTGTAATGTCACTTTAATTTCTGATTTTAGTTCTTTGCATCTTTTTTCTTTAGTCAATCTAGATGAAAGCTTATGAATTTTGTTCTATTTAAGAATCCGTTTTTAGATTTATTGATTCTCTGTAGTTTTCTATTCTCTGTTCGCTTATCTTTGCTCTAATATGTATTATATCTTTTTTTCTGCTAGCTATGGATTTAGTTTGATCCTTCTTTGCTAGCTGCTGAAGGTATAAAGTTATTGCTTTCTTTTTGAAAATAGGCATATATTGCTACAAATCTCTCGATAGGCATGCTCTTGGTTGCATCCCATAAGTTGTGACATAGACTCTTTACCTTTTCACCCATTTTTAAGTATTTTTAAATTTCCTTTGTGGTTTCTTCTTTGATCCATTAAACGTTGTTTAATATCCATGTTAATAAACTTTTTCACTGTTACTCATTTTGAGCTTTATCCTATTATGGTCAGAAAAGATATTTTTTATGATTTCAGTCTTTTAAATTTACTGAGATTTATTTTGTGCCCTAATCTATGGGCTTCCCTGTAGAATGTTTTTTGTACACTTGAGAAGAATGACTATTCTACTATTGGTAGGTAGAGCATTCCACATACTTCTCTTAGGCCTATTTGGTTTATACCATTATTCAATTACTCTGTTTTCCTATGAATCTTTTGTCTGGATATTCTGTCCATTAATGAAAGCAGAGTAATGAAGCGTCCAGCTATTATTACAGAACTCTGTATTTCTTCATTTAAATCTGTGAATTCCTGAAATTAGAACACTGATTTCTCTTTCATTAAGTAGTTCCTTTAAGGCAAACTATGTTCTCTTATAGAGGGTTGATGTTTTGGGAGTTATATTTCTTGGTTGGCTTTACTTTGAATGTAACTGTCCATATGGTCTATGTATAGAACTGGTTAAAAAAAAGTCCCTCACTTTCCAGAGGTGGCTGCTTATTAGTTTCCATCTTCATGAACTGTGAGGTGTCTAAAGAGTAAGGCCCACCAAGGTGCCCTGGAAGTTAGGTACTTTGTCAGTCATTGATCCTACTACCTTGCCTAACCCCTAACCCTGGTTCAAGGTTTAGAGCTGCACTGTCTCTGGCTGTGGTTGGAAGCCACCACTCCTGCACCTTCTATACTTGTATAAGTGACAGGAACCCTGCCTCTAGTTTCTCATATCTGATACTATCTACTGATATCTTCCAGAAATTATATAATTGTCTTTTTTGGTGTATATTATTTGCACATTTATTGTTTATGTTCCTTCCACTTATATTTTTGCAGGCATCAGAGGTAGATATGTGTTTGAGGTTCACCATCTTTAAATGGAAGTGTCAGTTATTTTTGAAACTGTGTTCTCTCTTATTTTCTATTACTCTGGAATGTCTCCTGGTTCCATTCTCACATTTTTGTAAATTCCTTTTCAGCCTTTATGGCCTATGTTTCTTTTTCTTGCCAGCCACTTATATATTTGTATTCCCTTAAATTCTGTGTTGGTAATTTTTTTCCTCCATCTTTGTCTCCTTTGTGAATATCTGATCACTGGTGGCCCCTGTGACACAGAGTTGCCATTTTCACCCATATCCTTATTTCCATGCTGGATCTCTTTCCTGAGCTTCAGAATAATCTCTGTAGCCTTCTACTGGACATGCTCACTTCCATGACATGAAGCCATTCCTAGAGCTGCATGACCTCCATGTGACTTATTGTCACTCTGCAATTCCCCCCTCCCCCAACCTCCTGGTTCTACTTTCTAGACCTAAGGCCTCTATGCAGACCCTCTGGAAGTCACCATTCCTCTCTTCCTTTGACTAGTGAATTCTCTCTTCCACATCTCCACTGTTGCCCCTTAATATAGACAGTCTACCTCTAATGCTGCTCTCCAGCACAGTCTCCACTCTACTTGGGTGGCATTACTTCCTCGGTGAAAATGGAATTATGTTACAGGGATTCAGGTGTGTATTTCAATTCACCATCAACTTCTGCTATTCACATGAATGATCTGGTGTTGGGGGAGCAGGGAGCCTATGGCCTAAAGGAAGCGTGCAAGATAATTGGGTATATGTCATATACTGCCAGTTCCTTAAGGAATGGGAAAAAAATATCATCATGCCTATTTATATTTTTATCTAAAAAATAAGAACAAAATTAAGCTGTCCTTATATGTGGGTTGACTGTATTTTATTTACTTTATAAATAAATATAAATAAAACTAGTTGCTAAAAATTTTTTACAGATTAGATGAGTGATAAATAATTGGAGAACACTAACAGTATTAAAGCCAAGAATATTTCCTAGTCTCCCTCATCTCCCATGCCTCTGCAACCTTTACCTCATCACAGGTCAGACATGCCCTCTTATCCTGTTAAGCAATTCCATTGACTTGCCACATATTTTTTTCAGGTTTTTAACATTTCCTTAAGTTTTTGTTATATGTTTGCAAAGGAACTAAAGTTTTAACACTTTAGTGAAATCTAATACGATGACACACTCTCACCTGAATTTGCACAGAACCTTTTTATGATCCATCTGTGTTGCACGTATCTGTGGTATGAATCTTTTAAGTTCTGTGGTGGGTATGTCTCTGTATGTATGTTTCCTCATGAGAAGATATATTCTTTTCTTGTAAGGAAGAGTCTTGTATTCTAATTGGAATACTCAGAAACTAAGAAACCTGTAAGCACATGTGGGCACTAAATATTTTTCCATTAAGTAATAAATTAATGCACCAACAGGATATTTCTACTATGATTTTTTACCCACAATGTATAACATAAAACAACATGTGTCATGGAGGCCCTTTATAACATTTTCTGTTTAATTTTCAACAATAAAAATGGTAAGAATTAGTCCCTAAACATCTTTCTTCACATCACCTGATTCTGATCACTTGAAACTGAGCAGAACTGTGATTTTCCAGGGACCAGTGTCATTTAGGGATGTGAGTGTGGGTTTTACTCAAGAGGAGTGGCAGCATCTGGACCCTGCTCAGAGGACCCTGTACAGGGATGTGATGATGGAGAACTACAGCCACCTTGTCTCAGTAGGTAGGTAGGAATTGTTTCCCATATAGAAGGCCTGAATGCATGTCCTTTCTTATCAATAGAAACTTGTGGAACTTTTGTAGAATATAAAAATATTTAGGTTTGAGATTAAGAGGTCAAGGACAATTTATCCCTTTTGGATACCAGAAAGAAGGGTTTTTCCTCTGCTCCCATGACAGGATTAAATGAGCTATGTATATGTGTGTGTGTATTGTTTGGGGTATACTGTCTTCCTCCTTCAGGGAAACCCACCCAGCTTGTCCCAAGGAATATAATTCTCATTCACAGGGTATTGCATCCGTAAACCGGAAGTAATCCTCAAGTTGGAGAAAGGCGAGGAGCCATGGATATTAGAGGAAAAATTTCCAAGCCAGAGTCATCTGGGTGAGTTAGTATGTGCCAGATGGAATTTAAAGGAAGGTAGATCACAAAGGGTAAGTTCAGATAATAAGACCATTGAAATGTTCTTCAGGAATCATGTTTTAGAGGTTCCAGACCTTTACAAGTAACATGTTGACAAGACTCAAATATCCAGTGGCTTTGAATCACCCAGCATCTCCCCGTATCACTTCCGTACACCATCCTGTGTTTTTTTAACTGGTATAAATTATTTAGAGTTAACTCACAGCTTAATAAAATTTTATACACACACACACACACACACACACACACACACACATACACATCCATCACTGAGATGAATATATATGAATATATGTATCATTGAGAGTGATTTTTCATTACCCCTACGAAAACTCCCTGGTGTCCTCTTCCCGGTAAAGAATATCCCTCCTTCTAGAAAATATTAAATATTACTGTAAGGACACAGGCACACGAATGTTCATTGCAGCACAGTTAATAGCAAAGACCTGGAACCAACCCAAATGCCCATTGATGATAGACTGGACAGGAAAAATGTGGCACCTATACACCATGGAATATTATGCAGCCATCAACAACGAGTTTGTGTCCTTTGTTGGGACATGGATGAACCTGGAAACCATCATTCTCAGCAAACTGACACAAGAGCAGAAGATCAAACACCACATGTTCTCACTCATAGGTGGGTGTTGAACAATGAGAACACATGGACACGGAGGGGAGCACTACACACTGGGGTCTGTTGGGGGGAAATAAACGAGGCACAGCGGTGGGTGGGGAGTTGGGGAGAGATAGCATGGGGAGAAATGCCAGATATAGGTGAAGGGGAGGAAAGCAGCAAATCACACTGTCACATGTGTACCTATGCAACAATCTTGCATGTTCTTCCCATGTACCCCAAAACCTAAAATGCAATAAAAAACAAACAAAAAATAAAATATTAAATATATTTTTCAATACATGCTTTTTTGAGTTGCTCATTTGTTAGCATTTATCATATTTACCATTTTTTTACAGCATTATTTAAAAATAGTCTGGGCCAAGTGGCTCATGTCTGTAATCCCAGCACTTTGGGAGGCTGAGGTGGGAGGATCACTTGAGCTCAGAAATTTGAGACCAGCTTGGGCAACATAGGGAGACCCCATCTCTATGAAAACTCAAAAAATTGGCATGGTGGCACACACCTTTGGTCCCATGCCTGGCTAATTTTTGTGGTCTCAGCTACTGCGGAGCTGATGTTAGAGTCTTGCTTTAGCCTAGGAAGAGGCTGCAGTGAGCTGTGTTTGTGCCATTGCACTGCAGCCTCAGTGACAGAGCAATACTCTGTCTCTAAAAATTAAAAAGCTCTTTGGGTAACACTGATAAACATTATTTATTAAATACCATTGGTTTAAATATCTGTGTAGAACACTGAGAGAAAACCATAAATAAAATAATGGCTTTCAGGAACATAGTTGGTGAACGAAAACAGAAGGGCATGAAATATTTTAAAATTCAGTGTTTAACAAAGAATATTGTTACAGCAATCAGCTGATGTTTGTGCCTAAATGAATTATACAAACAGCTCTTTTGTGTTTTTTAGTAGATGAAGCTGGAAGTGGTGGAGAAATTTGGGAAGGCAACTTTTTAAAAACATTGTTAGACCGTAAGCTGACAATGAGAAAACCATCAGTATGAGATTATGATGGGAATGAGTAATTTATGAGGAACAAACAGCTCATATATATTTATCTAAAGTGCAATATATTCATTCTAGACTTGATGAAGAATGGTTTGGTTCTAATCTTAATCTAAGTATAAAGATATGCTTACTTCAATGATACCTTGTTAAAAAAAAGGGGGGGGGGGTTTGGGACATTGGACTCAGTACTATATAGTACAGTTGATGGAGTAAAGGGCAAATTCCATAGCCAGAATAGAACCATTAACCTGATCCTATGGCAAGTATGGCTTGTTCACTCATTGATTTTACTCTTATTCTAAGTGAATCAGAGCTAGAAAAACAATTAGGCCAAGTGCAGTGGTTGATGCCTATAATCCCAGCACTTTAGAAGGCCAATATGGGTGAGCTGCTTGAGGGCAGGAATCTAAGACCAGCCTGGCCAACATGGCAGAATCCTATCTCTACTAAAAATATAAAAACTAGTCAAGCATGGCGGTGGATGCCTGTAGTCCCAGCTACTTGGGCAGTTGAGGCATGAGAATAGTTGTTTTAACCCAGGAAGTGGACATTACACTGAGCCAAGATTGTGTCACTACATTCCAGCCTGGATGACAGAGCAAGACTCTGTCTCAAAACAAACAACAAAAGAACCACACAGAATTGGAGCCTGGATTATAGGACTATTTAGGAATTAGAACTTTCAGAAATTTGATTGTTGCTGCTGTGTTGAATTGAAAAGAAGTATAAAACTGGAAGTGTGCACACTGTTGTCATAATGTAGGTATGAAGAGATAATGGCTGAAACTGAGCCATGCCTTCAAACCTAATGCTAACTTTATTTCTTTTACATGCCCTTGTTAACTAATCTTTCTTATCACTCTTTATTTCAGAATTAATTAATGCCAGTAGAAACTATTCAATAATGAAGGTCGATGAGTTTAACAAAGGCAGAAAATGTTCCTGTGATGAAAAGCATAAAATAGTTCATTCTGAAGAGGAAACTTATGAATATAATAAAAATGGGAATGGCTTCTGGCTTAACGAAGACCTCGTTTGGCATCAGGAAATTAAAAATTGGGAGCAACATTTTGAATACGATGAATGTGGGAAAGCTTTATCTGAGAATTCGCTCTTCCTTGTACACAGGAGAGCTTACACAGGACAGAAAACCTGCAAATATATTGAACGTGGGAAAACCTGTGATATGTCATTTTTCACTACTCATCAGCAAACACATACAAAAGAGAACCACTATGAATGTAATGAATGTGGAGAAAATATCTGTGAGGAATCCATTCTCCTTGAACATCAGGGTGTTTACCCATTCAGTCAGAAGTTAAATCTCACCCCAATTCAGAGAACCCACTCAACTGACAATATTATTGAATATAATGAATGTGGAACTTTTTGCAGTGAAAAATTAGCCTTTCATGTACAACAGAGAACACATACAGGAGAAAAACCTTATGACTATCATGAATGTGGAAAAACCTTCACTCAGAAGTCAGACCACACAAGACATCAGAGAACACACACAGGAGGAAAACCCTATGAATGTCATGAATGTGGGAAAAACTTCTGTAAGAATTCAGACCTCATTAAACATCAAAGAATTCATACAGGGGAGAAACCTTATAGATGTCATATGTGTGGGAAATCCTTCAGTGAAAAGTCAACCCTTACTCAACATCAGAGAACACACACAGGGGAGAAACCATATGAATGTCATGAATGTGGGAAAACCTTCTCATTTAAGTCAGTCCTTACTGTGCATCAGAAAACACACACAGGGGAGAAGCCCTATGAATGCTATGAATGTGGGAAAGCCTTTCTCAGAAAATCAGACCTCATTAAACATCAAAGAACTCATACAGGAGAAAAACCTTATGAATGCAATGAGTGTGGGAAATCATTCTCTGAGAAGTCAACTCTTACTAAACATCTAAGAACTCACACAGGTGAGAAACCTTATGAATGTATTCAGTGTGGAAAATTTTTCTGCTACTACTCTGGTTTCACAGAACATCTTAGAAGACACACAGGGGAGAAACCTTTTGGATGTAATGAATGTGGGAAAACCTTTCGTCAGAAGTCAGCCCTAATTGTTCACCAGAGAACTCATATAAGACAGAAACCCTATGGATGTAATGAATGTGGAAAATCATTCTGTGTGAAGTCAAAACTCATTGCACATCATAGAACACACACAGGGGAGAAACCCTATGACTGTAATGTTTGTGGAAAATCATTCTATGTTAAGTCAAAACTCACTGTACATCAGAGAACACACTTGGGGAGAAACCCTATAAATATAGTTAAGTGAGGGAAATTACTCTGGGTGAAGTCAGAACTTTGTAGAAGAGAATATACAGGGTGAGAGAAATCTGTTAATATAATGCTAATAAGAACACCTTTGCCCTGAAGTCAGTTCTCACAGTATAGAAGAGAACTTAAACAGGGGAAAAAACAATATGAAGATATGGAATGTAGGAACACATTCCTCTGGAATTTGGACCATACATTATGTTGCAAAACTAAAAGTGGAAAAAACTTATTGGCAAATGAATATAGGAAATATTTTGCCCAATGCCACATCTCAGTAAATATCAGAGAGTTCGCACAGGGTAGAAACTTGCGACAGCATCCCCAGATTAAGAAGGGATGCATTTTTCTGCTAATACTCCAGTTTTACTGAACATCTGAGAAGACACACAGGGCGAAACCTTTTGGGTGTAATGAATGTGGGAAAACCTTTTGTGAGAAGTCAGCCCTAATTTTTCACCAGAGAACTCATATAAGACAGAAACCCCCTGGATGTGATGAATATGGAAAATAATTCTGTGTAAAGTCAAGAGGCCAGAGAAAATGCACAAACTATAGGAAACTATAGGAAAGCATTTACTATGAGGTTATATTTTATGGAGAATGTGTAATTTATAGTAGCTTCTCAGTGAACATCAGATAGTAGAGAAGGCATTTTTAACTATATCCAATGCATGGAAGCTTTAAGTTAAAATCTAAATTTAATATAGACCAGAGATGTTGAATTTGCAGGATATCTAGCAATTTAACAAAATGTGGTAAAAAAGGTTTTTATTGAGGAATAGCATTTTACTTTGTAAAAATCCAATTTAGTTCATTGTGAAGACTGCTATTTTCTAAGATAGAGATTTGAAAAGATGCCACTCTGGAGTCAATAGCTATAAGTAGTTACTGCTTAGTTATATGCAAAATCAGGGACGATTTTTAGCAAGGGGACCCAGCAGCAAGAGTGCACTTGTATGTCCAGGTAAAAAGAGAGAGACCCTCAACCTGGGGACATAGGACAGGAGCCTGCTGCCAGGATTTTTCAATAATCCTGAGACAGACTGATTTCAGGTGACCCATCTCAGAATGGTGGATCAAAGGGGCAAGTCAATTTGCCTTGTATGCAACTTACAAGGATTAGTAGGATAGAGTGGATCCAGATTTTTGGTGGTTTCAACCCTAGCGTATGTCTAACACATAAGCCAGGACGTTGTGCTGTGAGTGACTTCTTATACCCAACTCTCTTCATACCCAATTTCATACTGCAACATGTCTTTCATAGGTGATACAGCTATTTTTAAAATACATATAGATGTAACAAATATGGAGCTTTCAAAAAGTACAAATAGGCTGGGCATGGTATCTCATGCCTGTAATCCCAGTACTTTGGGAGGCTGAGGTGAGCAAATCACCTGAGGTCAGGAGTTTGTGACCAGCCTGGCCAGCATGGTGAAACCCTGTCCCTACCCAAAATACAAAAATTAGCTGGGCACGGTGGCACATGCCTGTAGTCCTGGCTACTAGAGAGGCTGAGGTGGTAGGATCACTTGAACCTTGGAGGTAAAGGTTGCAGCGAGCTGAGATCATGCCACTGTACTCATTCCAGCCTAGGCGACAGAGACTGTTTCAAAACAAACAAACAAAAAAGCAAAAATAGATTTTGCTGTTGGGTAAGGTATAGTAATTGGCAGAAGAATGGACCCCTTGAGACCAACTCTATAGAAGCAAAGAGGACTAAAGTGGCAAAATTCTAGAGAGTGGTAAATCCCAGAAATCACATGGACAGAATGCAGCTGTTTGCTCTGGGGGTCCTTTCTACTTCTGGCCATAGGGAAGAACCTGAATACTGAACTTGGTTCAGGCAGAGGGCCATAACCTAGGGGTTATGGGGGGGACCAGAAAGCAGGAGAACAATCAAGACTGCATTGAAAAAAAATTTATACATTAGGGGTCAAACACATGCTATTTCTCAAGAAATCTTCAGATGTCTCACACTGTGTAGGGCAGGAGCCTGAAAAGCTAATTTGAGAAGAAAAAGGATTTTTGTTTTTGTTTTGCATTTTGCAGTACAGAGGAGAAATGATTAGAACTTAGGAAGTGCTAGCAGGCTGGTCCTTTGGCGAACATGCCATCAGTAAAAGTCCTGGAAACAAGGTCAAACCAGAGGTTGATTGTGCCTTGTCACAAATGCAAACAATACCTGAGTGAATATTCAAAAAATTGCTTAGAAAGAAAAACTCGAGGAACAAATGTCTTCACTGCAGTTATTCCAACTATTTAAGAAATAAAGAATACCAAGCTTTTATAAACTTTTTTTAGAAAAAAATGATGGAACTTTTCCAATTCAGTTTTTGAGGCCAGTACAACCTTGATACCAAACCTAAAAAATAAATAAATAAAGCTATAGACCAAAGTCTGATTGATTTAGATGCAAAATCATAAAATTTAAAAAAATTCTAGCCATATCCATAAACTATATCATCACCAAGAGATGGTTATTAGGGCAATCAAAAGATGGTTTATTATTTAACCAATATTCAAGAAAACAATGTGGACTTCCATTCCTTTTTCTTTTGATTCCTCCCTTTGACTTTTCATGTGTCTCTCTTGCCTGCCCTCCCCAGAGTGGAGGAGTAAGACCTTCCTTGTGGGATGAGAGGAGTTGTGACCATGTGCCTCCTGGAACCAAGAGGGCTAAGGGTGAGGTGTGGAAGGGAGAGGTGGAGGAGACTGTTGAGAAATTGGTAGCATTGAGCAAATAAATATGTTGAGAATGATGAGAGCAAGGCTTCTCTCTGTTAGAGAAGGTATTTATAAAAATAGAGGGTGGATCCAAGATGGCCATTTAGGAACAGCTCAGGATTGAAGCTCCCAGTGAAAGCGCAGAGGGTGAGTGGATTCCGCATTGTTATTACCCACAGACTAGGAAGCTCTCAGATGGAGGAGCTCCGTGGGTCGCCAGCACAGCTGTGACGGCTGGCGTCGCTGCTTTGCCCCGCGCAGCTGCTTTGTCAGCCTTCCGGCGCAGCAGTTCTCCATTCGAAATACACTGGCGATTGGAGCCACGGGAAGTCGCCCATCCATCTGGTTAAAAAGGGGACTGAACAGGGAAACAGGACAGTAGATTCCAGGGCAAAAAAAGTGCCACGAATCTCAGTGCCGCTGTTTAACCCAGTGCAGTGAGTCACCGCACGGGAAAACACACAGATCCCGGTGCCTCTTCAGCAGGCGAAGGGAGCACCAACTTAAAAAAAAAAAAAAAAAAAAAAAGGCTCTGAGGCAGGGAGCCAGGCGATCAGGCTCGACTCTTCCCACCCCCACAAAAGAACAGCAATCAGAAACTCTCTGGACTGAGAGTTTCACAGCAAGCGCAGCTAAACCCAGGACGATCCAGCCCTGTGGGGGAGGGGCGTCCGCCATTACCGAGGCAGCCCACCACTATGGAGGTAGCCAGCCAATGCTGAGGCAGCCTGCCATTGCCAAAGCAACCATTGCTGAGGCAGCCAGCCGATGCCAAGGCAACCCGCCACTACAGAGAGAGTCCGCCACAAGAGAGGCGGGCCACCATTGCTGAGGCAGTTCTAACACCACCCATATAAACAGGACTGCAGGGAAGCTCACTCGGCAGCTGGGCAGAGCTGCCAGCAGCTCAGCAAAGCCTCTTCAGGCAGACAATGACTAGGCTGCCTTCTTGCTAGGCAGGGCAGCTCTGAAGGAAAAAAAAAGAAGGCAGCAGCATAACGGAAACTCATAAAGCCCTAAATCCCTGGGACAGAGCACCTGGGAACAAAAAGTGGTTTATGAGCTCTGCTGCAGCAGACCTAAACATACCTGCCCAGCAGCTCTGAATGAACAACGGAGCTCACAGCTCAGCATTTGAGCTCCTATAAAGAATAGACTGTCTCCTCAAGCAGCTCTCTGACCTGTGTATATCTAAAGAGCCACCTCATAAAGGAGAGATCAGACTGACACTTGATGGGTATCCTTCTGGGACAAAGATAGCAGAAGAAGAAAACTGGTAACAACCCTTACTGTTCTGCAGCTACTGCAGGCGATCCCCAGGCAAGCAGGGCCTAGAGTGGACCTCAGCAGTCCTACAGCAGAGGGACCAGACTTAGAAGGAAAACTAAGAAACAGAAATAACCTCATCATCTGCAAATAGAACGTCCACTCAGAGACCCAATCTGAAAGCCAGCAACTACAAAGACAACAGGCGGACAAATCCATAAAGATGGGAAGAAACCAGCGCAAAAAGGATGAAAACACCTGAAACCAGAACACCTCTCCTCCTCCAAGGGATCACAACTCCTCACCAGCAAGGGAACAAGGTTGGATGGAGAACGAGGGTGATGAAATGACAGAATCAGACTTCAGAAGGTGGGTAGTAAGAAACTTCTGTGAACTAAAAGAACATGTTCTAACCCAATGCAAAGAAACTAAGAACCTTGAAAAAAGATTTGACGAAATGCTAACGAGAATGGACAAAATAGAAAGGAATATAAGTGAATTGATGGAGATGAAAAACACAACACGAGAACTTCGCAAAGCATGCACAATTATCAACATCCGAATTGACCAAGCAGAAGAAAGGATGTCAGAGGTCGAAGATCCACTCAATGAAATAAAATGGGAAGGCAAGAATAGAGAAAAAAGGGTACAAAGGAATGAACAAAGTCTCCAAGAAATGTGGGACTATGTGAAAAGACCTAATCTACGTTTGATAGGTGTACCTGAATGCGACGAAGAGAATGAATCCAAGCTGGAAAATACTCTTCAGGATATTATCCAGGAAAACTTCCCCAACCTGGCAAGGCAGGCAAATATTCCAGTCCAGGAAATACAGAGAACACCACAAAGATATTCGTCAAGAAGAGCAACCCCAAGGCACATAATTGCCAGATTCACCAGAGTTGAAATGAAGGAGAAAATACTAAGGGCACCCAGAGAGAAAAGTAGGGTTGAGCACAAAGGGAAGCCCATCAGACTCACAGCAGATCTCTCAGCGGAAGCTCTACAGACCAGAGGAGAGTAGGGGCCCATGTTCAACATCCTTAGGGAAGAGAGCTTTTAACCCAGAATCTCCTATCAAGCCAAACTAGGCTTCATAAGTGAAGGAAAAGTAGAGTCCTTTGTGAGCATGCAAGTACTCGGAGATTTCGTCGCCACCAGACCAGCTTTGCAGGAGCTCCTGGGAGAGGCTCTGCACATATAGGGGAACAACCAGTACCAGCCACTCCAAAAACATACCAAATGGTAGAGAGAGTGAACACGATGAAGAATCTGCATCAACTGATGGGCAAAGCAGCCAGCTGGCACCAAAATGGCAGTATCAAATTCACACATAACAATATTAACCTTGAATATAAATGGACTGAATGCCCCAATCAGAAGACACAGACTGGCAAATTGGATAAAAGGCCAAGACCCATTGGTGTGCTCTATCCAGGAAACCCATCTTGCATGCAAGAATGCATGGGGGCTCGAAATGAAGGGATGGAGGAAGATTTGCTGAGCAAGTGGAGAGCAAAAAAAAAGCAGGAGTTGCAATTCTCATCTCTGATAAATTAGACTTTAAAGCAGGAGGGATCAGAAGAGATAGAGAGGGACACTGCATGATGGTAGGAGGATCAATGCAACGGGAAGAGCTAACGATCCTAGATATATAGGCACACAATACAGGAGCACACAGATACATAAGGCAAGTTCTTAATGACTTACAGAGAGACTTGGACTCCCATGCAATTATAGTGGGAGACTTTAACACCCCATTGTCAATACTGGACACATCAATGAGACAGAAAATTAGCAAGGATATCCAGGACTTGAACTCAGACCTGGACAAAGCGGACCTGGTAGACATTTGCAGAACTATCCATCCCGGATCCACAGAATATACATTCTTCTCAGCACCACATCACACCTACTCTAAAATTGACCACATAATTGGGAGTAAATCACTCCTCAGCAAATGCAAAAGAACGGAAATCATAACAAACAGTCTCTCAGACCACAGTGCAATCAAGTTAGAACTCAGAATTCAAAAACTAACCGAGAACCGCACAGCTTCATGGAAACTGAACAACTTGCTCTTGAATGTTGACTGGATAAACAATGAAATGAAGACAAGAAATAAGGATGTTCTTCGAAACCAACAAGAATGAAGACACAACATACCAGAATCCCTGGGACACATTTAAAGCAGTCTCTAGAGGAAAATATATAGCAATAAGTGCCCATATGAGAAACAAGTAGAGATCAAAAATTGACACCCTATCATCAAAATTGAAAGAGCTTGAGGAGCAAGATCAAAAAAACTCAAAGTCTAGCAGAAGCCAAGAAATAGCTAAGATCTGAGCAAAACTGAAGGAGATAGAGACACAAAAAACCCTTCAAAAAATCAATAAATCCAGGAGCTGGTTTTTCAAAAAGATCAACAAAATAGACCACTAGCCAGATTAATAAAAAAGAAAAGAGAGAATAACCAAATTGATGCAATAAAAAACGATAAGGGGATATCACCACAGATTCCACAGAAATTCAAACCATCATCAGAGATTATTACAAACAACTCTATGCACATAAACCAGTAAACCTGGAAGAAATGGATAAATTCCTGGACACTTGCCTCCTCCCAAGCCTAAACCAGGAAAAAGACGAAACCCTGAACAGGCCCATAACAAGGTCTGAACTTGAGGCAGCAATTAAGAGCTTACCACCCAAAAAAAAGCCCTGGTCCAGACAGGTCCACAGCCTAATTCTACCAGGCATACAAAGAGGAGCTGGTACCATTGCTTCTGAAACTATTCCAATGAATAGAAAAAGAGGGAATTCTTCCCAAATCATTTTATGAGACCAACATCATCCTGATTCCAAAACGTGGCAGAGACTCAACAAGAAAAGAAAACTTCAGGCCAATATCCATGACGAACATAGATGCAAAAATCTTCAATAAAATACTGACAAGCCGATTGCAACAGCACATCAAAAAGCTT